ACACAGAGAAATCCGAGTTAGATTTGGGAGCTCAGAAACTGATAAAAGACTCGGGTTTCAGGTTGTTTCACAGCATTTATATTAATCCGTTTATTTCATTCTTCTTTTTCCATTTTTTGTTTGGGACATTTTCGAAACTAGCCATTTTCCTTATTCAATTTTTTTTCCCCTTTTTTATTTAATAATTTTCAAAAGCCAATTTAAAGAATACTAAAATTGTAGTCGTCTCCGAAACCTCTAGGGTCGTCGCTCCTCGAACGAACCTCTTGAGTCATGCTTGAACTCCTTCCTAGAATGTATTGCAAATATGATTGAAAATGACAATGGAGGAAAAAATATATATATATATAGGAAGGAAGAGTAAAATTTATGTGGTTATTTTCGTATTCACAATCATTATGCAACGGTCGAGAATTTGTATTTTAGTTATCACAATAGATACTCCCGCGAGCACTAAGAAGTTTACAATTTCTTATAATGAAAAATAAAAATACATTTGTGTCATACATGATGTAATCGGCTTTTGAGTGACATCCGTATAAACGCGTAACCATCTTTTAAACTTCAATAGAACCATTTAAAACTATGTTTTCTTTAATTTGATTTAATTTTTACTTTTCATTGTATTTGCTGTCGTTCTTTGAATTAATTTATTTCTTCACGTATTTTCTTTATGAAACTAGTTGTGTAGAACCAAGTTTTAGAAAGCCGCTGGGAACAAACGTAACACGTGTGGGAAAATAAATCTGAATTAGGCGCCCTGAGGGGTGAAGCACGTGTAATGTGCATGCATCATGCAATAAAAGGGATTTCAGGAAATGAAAATATTTATGAGGGAGTAGGTAGGGTGAGATATTTGACCAATTACCTACGATTAATTATTGAAGGTTTTTTTTCTTTTCTTTTCTTTTCTTTTAAAAAATGCGAAAGCCAAAAAGAATTTGAGATCCATGTATGTATGGTAGATGATGTCAGCTGTTTTTGGTAACTTAACCAATTCATATATTGTAATTAGAAACATAATCAGTGATTCAGTAACTGTAAAATAAAATTAAATGTTTTAGAGGGGGTTGGTTTCGTGGACTCGGCTTATTAATTTGCTACTTTGTTTATAGTCAAACACGTTTGACAGAGACCCCAAATAAAGGTGGGCAGGTCACTCGAAAATCCCACAGAAATACATCCCTGTCGTTATTTTTCAAGTTTACCAATTCACCCAATCTTTCACCATCACAAACAAAGTCTATCTTTTTCTTCCCATTTTTGCATATATATATATATATATTAAGGCTTTTAGCCAAATTTATCAAAGCTTAATATGAACAGGGAACTGAATCTTCATTTGTTCGCTAGAGATATACTCACCACTCACATTAGTAAAAATTTAATTTTTTGACCATAAATTTGATACTACTATTAACACCAGTCCCGCTCACTTAAGGATCTACCTTAGGTCATATGCGCTCCCAAATGAGAAGGGGAAAAAAACTATTAAATGGAGAAAACTTGAGCTAATTGACCAAACAAAAAGATTGTCGTCGTCATATTGGGAAAAATAGATACAAAGTATTCAAATCATCTCAGAAAAGGTAAAGCAGACGTTTAGTTAATTCAATTGTGTAGTGTGTACGTGAATGTTGAGTAATCTAAGCACGTGGCCTAATGATAATTAATTACTTGCATTGCATTGCATTTGAAGATGAGGAAGAACCTTCTGTTCTGTCTAATCGCATTTCAACGTTTGACGTGTGAAAAAGACAGAGTCTTTCTCACAATGAAACAAACTAAGGACTCTTTTTTTTTTCTTTTTTTTCATTTTTCATTTTCATTTTTTCTTCTTTTTGGGTCTGAATAGACTAATTAATTAGTAATGCATATATACTGAAGATTTGGTTGCTATGTGCATACTGCAGATTTGATTGTTTTGATTTTTTTTTTT